GGTATCCGTTTTGTCATCGCCATCACCATCAGTCTTCGAACCATCAACTTTACCAGAGTCATTTTTGACCCCACTCGACTCCTTATTATCGCCTTCTTCCGAATTGCTCTTCGTATCTGTATCCATGTGCAGTTCGTCAGGAGCAGCACTGCTCTAACAAAAAAAAATATGGCTCAAAATGAGATTATATCAAACTTAAAACTGAAGAAGCAGAAAGTGCAAAGATTCATATACTTGGAACTTTCACAACATAGTAAAGAGCAGCAATCAATAGCCGATTAAGTGACAACCAATTACGCAAAGAAGGGTCGCCTTTGCTGGAAATGAAAACTTCTGGACACCCCTTCCCAGAAGTTTTTACTTCCAGCAAAGCATGCAAAGAGGGATGTTCCAAAAACAGAGTATATCAAGATATCAAGTATAAAAATTTCCTCACAACAATAAATTTCAGTCGCCATATTTAACTCTATGAGAAGAGATAAAAGGTTCCAAAACCCTACAACATAACAGAAAACAATCATATGAAGAGGGATCGCTCGCCTTTGTCGGTTCTGCAAACTTCAAGTCGTCTATAAATGATAGCTTTCGTACTTGTAACTTACTGAATTGCTACAAGGAGACATGGAGAAACAGCTCATAAATGCATAAAGTTTCTACATTCATAAACTGATAACTCGACTACAATTGTCATTCGGGAAATCTTTATATTTTCTAAGCTAAAAGTGTAATGACGCTTCTAAAGTTACTAAAATATACACAGATTAGACGATAGAGCTCTAACTTACTGGTGGAGGAGATGAGCCAGCTGAAGCCGCAACGCTGTCATGTTTTTCCGATTCGAGTGCTTCACTAGTGTTTTCGCTTGATCCTTCTTTCAGCTGAAAGTGATCTTCCAGGACACATGTTACTTTATACTTACAATGCCTATTTACTTTTGGCAGTTTACAGATGATCACATATGAGCGCTTGTTCCGTTCACTAAAACTTATAATGCATTAAAACATCATACATAAAAATTTCCTCGCACTACAATAAACTTTACGTACTACCACATTCAATCCTACACTCTAACAATGTATACCATGCATCTTCGTCGCTACTTTCATTCCTAAGTCATTACATTTTTCATAAATTATGCTTTAAAGTAATTGCATGAAGACTACAAAAACGAACCTCAATTCTTCGATCTTCAGTTGCGTCCTTACACGCCTCCTCATCACCTACATTTTCTGCAGACCCTTCGGTCCTTTGTTCCGAAGAAGCCTGAATTAAGAGAACGCACACCTTTAATCATACATCTGCTACGGTTAGCTTCAAATACCGTTTGCAAAAAGTGCATATGAAAAAGTCATTTGATAAAACTCTCATTAACCTCAGAAATGGTATGCTGATTATCTCCATGTTCGCTGTTTAAAATTTGCGCACATCCACCTTTCTGTTTTTGCTCCACGGTTTTCTCACCATTTGTCACTGTGTCAGTTATGACTGAACTTGCTATAAATGAGAAATATCGATTAGGCTAAATTTGCAAGTGCATTTCATCTATTTCACAAACCGTTCGAAGACCTTCTCTAAGCCAATTTTCAAGGAGAAAGTGTTGGATTTTATCCTTCGATGCAAATTTAATAACGAGATGCTGCAGAAAGAATTCACTCAAAAAGTACCATGTGAAAAGCCCACAGCTTGTGGCTCATCATGAGAATGATCCACCGATTTGTCACTATTTCCTGGGAAACTTTCCGGTGGTTCGGCGTCCATTGACGACATTGAACTTTACAATTACAACTGATTATTTGAACCAAGTCCGCTCGATATTACTAAAATACTAAGCAAATACAAAAAAGCACGTCAAAAATATCTTTCGCAGACGCTTATTTTTCAAGTTCCCTAATTTGTATAAACGACTGAAACCGAAGCGAACCAAATTAAATTAACCAATTCGGATCAACCAACAACAGCATCTCCTCGTGCACTGGTAAATTAAAACTTGCAATGTGCATAAAATAGAATTTATAAAAAAGGAAAAAACAATATAAGAGACGAAATACCACATGTAAATATAGCAAAATATTAAAGGAAAGAAATGACGACTAAGAGGAAGAAAACGTAAAGGTGGAAGGACTGCGCAGGGTCAAAAGTTTCACTGATCAGACAGATGTCATACAACAGATAACTTGTAATGATCAGTTGTTTACATCGCTCCCTCAAATAAGAAAACAGTTTGCGGAAATAACATCATTCCACCGAATGGGAAATACATGTCATGCTATTGTTAAAAGGTTTCATTGTCTGAAATTTTGATCCAAGTAACTGTCGTCGCCTATTTAAACAAAATACAATTATTCCCTCTGCCAGAAAAAAAAAGAGGAAAGAAAAGTGCCGATGGAGAATAGTTAATACAAATTCTTGAATAGGAGAGTAAACAGAGACCACGGACACATGTGAAAACTTTTTGACACAATTTAAAAGTAAATAACCAGAAATTTGAGATTGCTTGTTGGAATATCACAAAATCAATGGCTATTTACAGAAGTGCACATATCAACCAGGCAATAATGTGCGTAACTATAAAAGCGTCAATAATCAATGATAACAATGATGAGGGCGATAAGAATGGCAATGATTAGGAAGGCAAAGACGTTTTGCATGAATAAAAGCAATAACGATAATGATTATTATAACTTCAGCAAAAACAAGAAAATTCAAAACTGTATACATGTTTCAAGAATCACCTCAGTACGCTTCTCAGATATGGAACCATCCCAATAAATACTGAGGAAATACTGACTTTATACCACATATGACGAAACTCACCACACCCCCTACCTTTCAAAATTATAGACAAGGGAAAATACCCTTTCATACTCATCAACGATGAGTTAATTTAAAAATGATATTTATAAATACAGAAAGTGCTTAGAATTTGAGGAAATAATAAACGTATCTATAACAGGAAGATCAGCTAACCGATACACTCCAATCTAACTTATTTTGAAGAACTCTGAACTAATTTCAAACATCGAAACAGAATGCAGGATAGTTTAGTAAGATAAAAACACCTATGGGATGGGAAAGATGGTAAGAAGGGAGTATAAAAACCAAACATGAAGTTAAAAAGTCAATTACAACGACAGCACCATAATTTCAAAAAAAAAAAAGAAAAATGCAAAAAATGCACAGACGGATAAAGACTTCAGCACCGAATAGTCTCGTTATCATTTTCAATAAACTGAAAGTCCAAGAAAAACTCAACACCGAAAAATCACGTACACATTAGTGAAAAGTGCAATTTTATTGTCAACAATTGTTCAAACAAGCTACTGGCAATGAGAGGGTGAAAGGGAGCGAGTGAGGTAAAAACAACTGCTAAGAAATATATGGTAACACAAACGGGGGACTTTCTCAAAACAGCATGTTAGTAACAGTGAAACGAACATGTTTAGCGCACATAATTTAATGCAATAAAATATGTCCAGCAAATTACCGTCTTTTCCTTCTTAAATTATTACCTTGTTCCCACCTTAACTAATTAATAACCTCTCTTTTCCATAGTTATTACCATATCTTGGATAGTTATCTTTACTCTCCAAATGGATTAAGCACGCCATATGTAATCGATACAACACTCACATAACCTCAGCATAAAGTAGAAGGCAAAGATAATTATCACTGAAAAGTCAACGAATAACTAACTGCCCACGAACGCAACAAAGATGCGAATGCTTGCATTAGAGCAGATGGCATTTCACATATGGGAAGTAGTGGACAATTGATTGAACAAACAAAAGAACACCGAAGTAACCAAAAGATACCATTACAGAAACCATGTCTTTACCTTTCCAAAACTTTTCAGAAGAGAACAAAAACCCAACTTTGGCGGGTGCCAACCGGAAAATGACCGAGAAAACCGCAATCCCTCCCCCCACCAAAAAGACCCCTCGGTTTCCCCCACTTACTGCTTATCAGCTCATTCTACATGTCCTATTCTATTGTGAAATGTATCGCACGCCATAGCGATACTCCGACCGCACTACGTACGCTCGCCAGCCATTCCAAAAGAACTATTAAAAAGGAGCGCGAATTTGAATGTAACGAATGTAGCACAACTAATTTTTATGGGGCCTTAACTGGAACGGTTGATGTCGGGTTGAAGCGCTCACTTGGTTTTTTTTATTCGGTTGTGAAACTTTAAGTTGGGAGAATGTCATCAGTGTCGCTCTCGTTCAGACGTTTACAGCAACGTTTGCGAAGATCACTTTGTTATGGAAGTCGTCAAATGAAATCGTTGCCGCTTCCACTTTCCGGTGGGATATTCAATTTGAAATTTTATTTCATTCAAAATTTGAGAATTGTTTGGACGTGCCACGCTGTTGGGTTTTATCCCATATTTGAATGTAAAATCTATTTTCTCGAATATAAAATACAAAATTGGAAGTGGTATGCTATGAGCTGGATGGTTACAGGATGGAATTTAAAAACCAGTCCAATTTATTGTTTGCTTATGAGGCATTATATTCTTTAAAATCAATTCAGTATCATGTTAAATAACATTTCATCTGTTTTAAAGCAATTCAGAACTTGCAATGGATTATTTCGATAGGCACTGTCCCTATGATTATATGAGCTTGGATTTTGCAAAACCCTTGTCACGGTACATGTTTACTGTAAATTTTGTCCAGAGCTTATTGTGGATTAATTTGGAACTCTAATTTGTTGCCCTGAACCTTATTAGAAACAAAAATTGCAATATTTTTGTTAAATTTGTTGTTTATATTGTTAAAGAAGATGTGTTTTAGGATATTAGACTTAGTTTGTTGTTACTTTCGTACTATGCTGAGGATAGGTTATTTAGTGAAACTACACTACCACTTTTAACCAACTGAGTTTGTACAGTATTACCAGGATCTTTTCCTTTTGTCTTACAGACAGGAAGTTCATTTATTTTGGTTTTGAAATTTATAAAAGTTTATTTGTAGTCATGAGTGTGTGGATGCGTGTACATTTTTAATAGCTATGGTATATCTCGATCGTATACGAACTGCTGATAAAATTTGTTTTGAATCTTCTGATCCGGGCGAATTGTATCTTTCGGCGCTCATAATTGCAAGCAAATATCTCCATGTAAGTGGTTTTATTTGCCAGAAATCTTTCAATTTTTCATCAGAAACTTTTCTAGAAACTTTTTCTTGATGAAACGTATCAAAATGTTTTATCTTGAAAAGCAGTTGGTTTAACTTTGGCGTCTTTAGTTTGCTCTTTTATCCGTTGCGTTAAAATCGCATTCAGTACTAGCATTCGCTGCACATATCATAGCCTACACATAAATCGCTGACAACTTTTCAGGATGTTGGACAGCGGGAATTTATTTATAATGACGAGTGGGCTGCATTAGCCAATATCTCTTTGAAACGGGTCAATGAAATGGAGCTGAACGTTCTAGATGCTATAGTATGTTTTTCCGCACTTTTTTATAGCATCATGTGAAGATTTTTCTTTTTCCGATTCTTATTAACCGTAATTGCATATTTTCGGGACTTTTTTGGGTTTGTTTTTAGGAATTTCGCGAAGTTTTCTAGGTCCCTGTTTTCATAAAGTCTGGTAATTTGAAAAACACATCCCCGAAAAGACACAGTATACTATTTGCAACTTTTGAAGCTATGTAAATTTCGCATTTCTTAAAAGGAAGTTCAAATTTGTTACGAAGCATCAATAATGATATAAATTTTTATTATTAATGAACTTTCTTTGGATAAATGATTATACGTGTTTTTAGCATTGGAACACCAGTGTAAATCAAGTTGAATTTATACAGATATTGGAAAAAGTGGAAACATGGGTAGCAAGGGATAGTTTGAAAAAACGCGGATTTTGTACATATAATGAAATAGCTATACTTCTCTCGAGGACGAGTTTCATATCTAATTGCATTAAACCGTTGATGTTATCGCTTGCCGCATTTACTTTTGTTTATTCTACTGCAGTTGTTTCACTTGTGTTTCTGCAAATTGTGATATCAAGCATGCAACGTGAGTTTGACGGATTTATCTATAATATCAGACTCTTTTAAATCATGCTAATGTATCCTATGGAAATTTCTTCGAATTCATTTCTCTAAAGGAAACTTCCTTCAGTGACAATGACATTGATGTGTGGTCTGAAGTTCTGAAGTATGAAAATTTGGAATAAGCAGGAAAGAGTTAGGGACTATATCAAATTTTTAAATTTATTTTTCATGTTTATCAAGGAATTACCAATTATATAATTTCAGACAACTCGATAAAGAACGAAAGATATATGGTGACTGTCACTTCCACTGATGGTAACATGACGCAGCAAGGAAAAGCTACCTTTTTTCTCCTACATGACAATTTTTACGAGTGGTACATACTTCATGTTCAACATATTTTTCGTGTTAATGTCGAATGTTGCTATCACATACAATGCACTGTTCAATCGAACTGCATTTTGGAGAGATGCTTTTCGATGTATAGCTTGTACAGCTGAAAGATCTATTTGTTCATTAGAATTTATCTGCATTTGCTTTAAAAATTGCTTTCCATTTTTACCAAATTCAAGTTCAGCTCAGGCTTTCATCATTTTTCTTTCTTTTGTCGTTTCTTTCAATCATGATTTATAATTTGCAGAATGACACCTGAGAGATTTTTGTGTTATACTTGAGATATTTTGTTTCACACATATGTATTTAAGTGATTTACCTGTAATTTACCTCAGTTTCTGCTTAACAATCTATAAGGTCACACGCCTTAACTTTATAAATTTCGTTGATACTGCTTTTATAAAAATAAAATTTATTAATAATCGTTTTGATTTGCATTTTTGCAACATTTATTTGAGGAAGAAGCGCTTTTTTGACCGAGGGTCTTGAAATCTTTGACTAGGAATTTCGAAGTTTGAATGTACGGGCTGCATTTTGAAGAGTGAGCTTGAATAACTTTTGACCCCTGTTTCTTGCTGGCTGATTCCTAATGCTTATCAAGTATTTAGGCATTTAAGAAATCGGTAAGATTATGAAGAGGTGAAAGATTTTGCGAAATCTAAACGCAATGTCTAGAGTTTTAAGAGTGTTTAATCTGTATTGCCCATTCTGGTAGAGTTTATGAGAGCATAAAATCTTCATTTTATACAACTCCGAAGTGCATCCCTTCGCAGAGTAATATTTGACCTACTGACCTTTATGTTAAATCTCAAGGACTGAGGAAAAGAGATTAAGAAAGAAGGCGAGGAAGGGAAACGACATTTGTCCTAGATTGTCGGATTTTGAAGAAACAAAACTACAACCATTGCATGAGACTGTTTTGGCTGCTATTATACTAATCGCTGTACCTATACGATGCGAGTTTGTGTGATTGGTGCTGGGGCAAGCGGTTTGCCTGCCATCAAGGAATGTCGCGCGGTTGGCCTCGATGTGATAGCTTACGAACGCACAAGCGATGTCGGAGGCTTGTGGAATTACCGACCTGAATTAGCAGTAAGTTGATATCAAGTCCTCAACTTTACTTAAATTTGGATTCAAGTTTTTGAACTTCAATTCTTGAAATTCCCTAGTAATCCGTCAATCATTAGGCAAGTGATCTTAGATAAAAATTATCATTGGAATTGTTGTCGTAATCCTCAATAGCATGGTATTCACTTCATTTCAATGTACACCAATTATTTCGCAAGAAATTTTAGCCAAAATTTTTCAGCAAAATCTACCGAGTTTATCGGTATTTTTGTTGCCAGATTTTTTGTCTTTTTATTTTCATTTGAAGAATTGAGTTCAATAAAACGAATTGTAAGACTTCTTTTCTCCAAAACTTATACGAAGCTAAAAGATTGCACAAATATTTACTCTATCTTCTAGAAATGTTACAAACGAAGAGAAAAAAGCAAAAAAAATACCGCAAGAAGACTTGCCATTCTATTCACCATTAAAGATCTAAGTCCTCATTGAATTAGCACCTGAATAAATAGAATTATAAAAGGAAAGAGAGAAATATACAGTAGAGCAGAAAGTAATGCAAAGCTGATGAAAACCAAAAAAAAAAAGATTAAATAAGAAATAAATGAATGTTCAAGGTGAGCTTAATATAAAGAAATTTAAATTTCAAATATAAGTTCAGGAGGGAGGCACGGTAATGAAGTCGACAGTAATGAATACATCCAAAGAAATGACAGCCTATTCTGATTTCCCACCGCCTGCCAGCTTTTGCAATTTTATGCATCATTCAAAAGTTTTGGAATATTTGAAAGATTATGCCAGAGTGAATGACTTATATCAATATATTTGTTTCAATACCACAGTGCAACAGGTAATTTTCATGATTATTCAGGGATAACTCTAAATAAGTTACGACTTCAGTTGAATCGATTTAAACCATTTAAGTTTACATTAAGGTTCGAATCCAGATAATAAGTGAATATGCAATGCTAAAATTGGAAAAGTTAGGCTTTTATTTACAGGTTTCACGAATAGGTAATTTTTGGGAAGTAAAGACAAATAATGGTGATAAGAAGCTATTTGATTATGTAATGATGTGCACTGGACACCACAGTTTCCCACAATATCCTCAAATACCTGGTATATTATTTCCACAAAATTTTTCCGTGAAGTATTTCGATGTTTTGTAAGTATTAAAATATTGGAAATTCTTTTGTTGCTTATTCAACTAATCAAGATATTCAGGATTCTTTGACTGTAATGGTTTTTAGATTTAGTTGAAATTCCTTGCAATATGATTTTCTAAAAATAACTTCCGTTAGTGTTAATTTGAAAAAATCGGCTGAATCATTCATTTCTATTTAGGGAGTGAAAAATTCAAAGGACGTATCCTTCACTCCCATAAATATCGTGATTACCAAGGGTTTGAAGAAAAAGACATTTTCATCGTTGGAATTGGTAATTCGGCTCTTGACATTGCTGCAGAGTTATCTGGTGTTGCAAAGTCGGTCAGTATTATTGTAAATAACTTGGAGGAATTTACTCATTGTTAACTTCTTAAGTAAAACTCAAATTGATGTTTGCTCAAATTTTCGTATTTGAAATGAGACCGGACGTTCATGAGAACTGCTGAGTATTGTTTATCGATTTCCAAATCATAGTCAAGACTAATCGATGGAGTTTCAAAATTTTGGCTCAAAGTATTATCTAACAGTCCGATGACGATGGTTGATTAGTTATCTAACAGTTATTAATTAATGATTCAATACATACTTGGAAAATAATTTAAACACTCCAATTTAGGTGACAGTTTCTACCCGACGTGGCTCATGGATATTCAATCGTGTAAGTCAAGGAGGTATCCCTAATGATCTGAAGATGATGACTCGTTTATATGACTATTTGATGGATAAATTGCCATGGGGAGTTGCTAATGATTTCATGGAACATCGTCTGCAGGTTTCAAGTTAATTTATTAAATATATGAGTGATTGAGACGCTATGAATGACAAATTCAGTCATCCACAATAATACAAATAAATATAAATTCCATAAATTCCAATCCTTTACCGAAAGTCAGTAACATGTTTTTTTTCTTTTTTTCAATCCGAAATAATTTATTCCCTTTTTCTACAACTGGTAATCCCGACACTTTCCGGCAGAAATTGGGTTGGATGCGACCAAGAGTCATGCATCTTGCCTGTTTTCACTTTCTTTTTTTGATTACGTCGTATCGACTTTGATACTTCTAAAGTTCATATCTCAAAAGTACTTTTTAGTCCTTGTTATCCGTTTAAGCTACGACTGGATCATGATCTATATGGACTTCGCCCGAACCACCGGTTTCTCCAACAGCACCCTACTATCAACGATGATTTACCCAATCTTCTCTGTAGCGGACGGATCGTCATTACGGTGATTTTTCTACCATAACGAAATGTTTTACCGAAGATTATTTTATCCTCTTGTTTAATTATTTGTTATTCAGGAGGATGTCGAACTAATTCGTGAGGTGACTGTTCAAGTTAAGGGAGGACGTCAATTTCCAGCCGACGTGATCATTTTTGCAACTGGTTATACGTTTGGTTTTCCATTTCTGTATCCAGAATTTATTATACCACTAAAGGTGTGTACCAATGTTTTTAAATATTCAGTCCAAACCATTTAGAAGATTGCAATATGAATCAACAACAGAGTAATTCAAAATAGCTCTGATCGAAATCTCATTAAGCTTTGCTGTTCGAGGAAAACCATGCCGTACTGAAGTTCGAATGAGTTTAAAAAATTTCTCTTTAAAGTCTTAATCACATGGCCTCTGAAATTATTGTTGGACTTCGAAATAAGTAATTGTTTTCATTCAAGTTATACTTTCCAGGATCATGAAGTGGAATTGTACAAATATGTTTTCCCGTTGAAATACTCTTCCTTAGCGGTTATCGGTCTGATCCAACCCATTGGAAGTATTTTACCAATATCTGAAATGCAGTGTCGATGGGTTGCTGCTGTATTTAATGGTCAAATTAAATTACCTCTTCACGAGGAGATGTTAGCTGATATTAAACTTAAACAAGCTCAAATTAAGAAAAGGTTAGAGCCATGCCCATCCACTGATTATAATTGACAATATAAATTAGTTTTTGAAAACCATGTCCTTGTCAACTGCCTGTTGTAAGACGGTTGCACTATAAATCAAATTCACTATAATAAACGCAATCAATGACATCAAGTAAATCACACCTGCCTTTTTTAAACAGATATTTCAAAAGCAAGAAACACACTATCCAAGTGGACTACATCAAATACATGGACGAAATTGCTGAACAAATAGGTTGTAAGCCTAACTTAATGAAGGTGATTTTTGAATTTATATTTGCTTCAGTTTTCTATGCATATATATTTCGTAAAATTGCATATTTTTTAGCTTTTTTGAATTAATTTTAGATTTAAACCTCTTCTTGCACCATTTCATCCATATTATCTGATCTGTACATGTTCCAGTACATGTTCATAGAGCCCAGTTTTTGCCTGCGATTGCTTATTAGTGCTAATGCACCGTATGTCTACCGACTTGAAGGCCCTGGATCTTGGGATAAAGCCAAGGAAACATTGATAAGCCTTCCTGAACGAGTCAAAATTCCACTGAAGAATAGAGAATGTCGCATGAAAGATATAAAGACGCGGAAGAATTGTAAGTTGACAGAATC